GGAGCTGGCTTCTGTATTTGAACCTTTGGTTTCATTCGGCACGTGAGTGGCCCCACCCACAGCAGGGGGCAACTCTTGACCTGCTAATACTACAAAGGGGGTTAATGTAGTCCAAATGTAATGTAGTGAGGTTGCTTTCAGATCAGTTCTGTGTATTTTTTGACATGTGTTTCTGCTTAGCAAACCACCACTGAATTTACAACTGTTAGAAGAAGACACATACATGAAGGAACACAAGTGAACTGTTCATGTGGAATCTAAATTTTGAGAACTCCATGCTCTACTGTTGATGAATTGTATAACTCTGTCCACCACCAAGTGTTCTGACTGTTTCCTGTGACGCCATTGCTGCCTGTGACGTTAAAATAGTTTACCAGTACAAAAAAGGCCCCATGACAAAGGCAGACTCGGTTAGGGCACAGAAGCAAGAGTGCCCGGAGGGCCGAACGGAAGTGGCGAATCCAATTTCCAGGGCGATTATGAAATCTGTTAAGATGAGTTGGGTGAATTTAACCGGTCTACGTAAACAAGAGAAATGTATTTTTCTGACATTATTAAGGAGGTTGAGTAACAATTTTCCGTGTTATGTTTTTCAACATTGTTGATTACGACCCCCCTGTAAAGTTTGCCCCTAGAGATTTTTTCCTCTAAATCTAGTGTAATGAGTTCGCACACAGTTTTTCGATGACAAAGTACAAGGAATCAAAAACACTATCACCTCACAGCACGATAACAATGCAAACATCCGAGAAGCTTTTTTGAGCTGTAACTCACTTTGCACCTGTGGATACTAAACGGTCAAAAAGATAATCATGAGTCTGAGCTCCTCACATTACCTGGATATATTGCCCTCTAAATTTCTGAAGTCCGTCCCTGAGCAGTTTGTTACCTTCACTGACACAAATAGTAAACAAGTTCTCTGTCGTCAGGGAACAATTTCCTAGGCCCTAAAAACAGCAGTCCATAATAACCTCTCCTAAAAAAGAGCAGCTCTGGATCCTGGCGCGACACTTCAAAATTATCCGCCGCCATATCGAATCTGCATTTATTGGAAAATTCTGAAAAAGTGGCCTCCCAACAACTGTACTGAATTTTAACAATGAATAATTCTTTTGATATGTTTCCATGTCTGGGTTTAGACCCCACCACAGCACTGAGAAACCCGCTCTAGTGAAGGTAACAAAACGACATTCGACTTCAAACTGATGCAGTTAAAGTCACAGTTTTGGGTCCATGTTAGATCTTAGTGCCGCGTTCGACACCGTCGACCAGGTGATCCCTCATCGCAGAGACTGGAGTCTGGGCTGGTGTCACTGGCACAGCCCTAGACTGGTTTAGGTCTTACCTGGAGATAGGAAGTACTCTGGGAGATTGGAGACTGCGCTCAGATATGTGGCCGCTGACCTGTGGTGTACCACAGGTCGATTCCTGACCTCGTCCTATTTAATCTTCTACATCACCCGTTAGGTCATTATTTAATACAAAGAAACAAAGTGTCCTACCACAAGTATACGCTGACGACACTCCGATCTATGTCTCACTGACTGCAGGAGAACATGGCCCACTGGAGTTGCTCCTGTCACTGTATTCCCAACAGATCAGTGACTAGGATGCAAAATTAAATTCCTCCAGCTAAATGCGAAGACAAAACCAAATCCATTGTCTTTGGTCCCCAGAAACAAGAGAAGGGCGTCATTTGTCACTTCAGTCTCTCTCCCTACTTCCTCAGACAAGGGTCAGAAATTTGGGGGTAATACTCGGACTCAGACCTAAATTTCATTAGCCACATAAAATCAATTAACATCACAGCTTTTTTACCATCTGAAGAACATTGCCAAAGTTAGAAATATTGTGTTCCAGGGCAGACTTGGAGATTGTCTTGTCCATAGGCGATTTGTCCCAGCAGGCTAGACTAATACTGCAATGGCCTGCTTTACAGGTCTGTCCAACAGACCTGTAAGCAGCTCAGTACATCCCAAGAAATGCAGACAGCTAGAGTCCGACAGGAACCAGGAATATGACCATATTAGTCCGGTCCTCAGGTCCTCTGCACTGGTCCTGGCTCAGAGAAAGATTTTAAAACGGCTCTGCATGTGTACAAGTCTCTCCAGGCCTTGCACCAATTACATTAGTTGACATGTTGGTGTCATATGAACCGGCACCGGACTCTGAGGACACAGGGACTGGCCTCCTGCTGGTGCCCAGAGTGAGAACCAAACATGGGGAGGCTTGCGTTTCAGATCCAGGCAGCTAAGATCTGGAAACAATCTCCCTGAAAATGGTAGGAGGCGTCTACTCTGTCAATGTTCAAATCCAGGTTAAAGACTGTGTCTGTTTGCCTGTGCATATAACTGAAGATTTTATCTCCATTTTTAATGCACAGCTGGTCATTTATGTATTTTTTTTTAAATTTCTTGTGTAATTTTGAAAGTTTTAATGGTTATTCTTTTGTGTGAATTTTAATGTTTAAAATTGTGTTTTTATCTTTTGTGTGATTAAATGTTTTTAAATTGTGATTCTGGTGTTTGTTTTATGTGAGGATTTGTGATGTGGACATGTGAAGCGCTTTGGTTTGCCCTGTGTATGAAAGGGCGCTCTACAAAATAAAACTTTGATTGATTGATTGATATTAATAAATGCACGGTATTGATCAATTGAGGGCTAGACTGCAAATGGTTGTTCAAGCCACGCCCACGTCTGCGAACTAGTTGAGTGTTTGACGGGTTGCGATCCATGATGTTGTCACCCTGCGTGCCTTTACCGTGACTCGGACCTTGGGAACAATAAACGTTGTAAAAACGACTATTTTGGTATTTGTTTCTGGTCCTTAAGAGTGCAAACACGAATCTTGGTGTTTCTGCTTCGTTGGAGATCGCATGGGAACGCGCTGTTTGTGGAAAAGAAGCATAGTTTGGGAGTTTTATACGCTCAAGCCACCCAGCCTGGCATGGCCAGAAGCGCAAATCAGCGCACTCACTGATACTGAAGCTGTTTACCTGTACGCTACGGTAAAAACATTTACACATTATGTCTACTACAAGTCGGAGATGTCGGAGAGTTGGAGAATGCAATGGACGGATTTGAGGAAAATCTAATGACTTTGTCTGCTGCGAATTATATATCTTTTGTTCAATCTTGGGGAGCATCTTGAGTGAAGAGGACAAGGGAGACCCTTACCATCGTGCAATGAGGACTATCATTAACAGAATCAGGAAGAGAGAAGATGTTGTCCTCGCCTCGAGGATGAAGGATTATCGTTGGTTGCTCATAGTTACTGGACCGAATTGATGAATTAAAGAGTGTACCCTCACTACTCTGCTAGCGCCAGCTCTCCCTCTGCTGGATACAGCAGGTACTGCATCCACATACCCAAAGTGCACTGCTGCATACCCACTAATTCAGGTGCCGTTTCCAATGTGACTATGACTCCATTTAAATGCCAACCCACCATTTGTGCACCAAATTTACATAAAAGAACTAACGTTAAGGGACAGATTGGTGAACCACATCAAAAAGGCAAACTTGGATAAATTCCCATTTGGAGAGTCAAATCCAAATAGCACTAAATAAAGGTTACAGTGAGTCGGACAGAACTGGAACTCCAGGGAGACACCAATTCAGTTTGTGCTCGTAGCAATGACTTAAGACGGCAAATTTTAGTTTGCATCCGAAAGGGGCCGAAAGTGGAACTCAAATACAGCCCGGATTTAATCAAAGATCAATTCTTGGCAACTGTTACTTACGAGGCTGATTGACACACAAACCATAAGAACTGATTTAGAAGCCATATCTTACAGATTCAAATGTGTCTGAAAGTGCGTTGGAGAAAGTTACAGAGCATACACCACTGGAATGAATGAAAAAACCAATTAGCCGACGAGTCACAGAGCAGTGATAATTTCCCTGCAATTGGGGGAGGACCATTTACAATTAACAGGGAGAGCACAGCCCCAACTCCAACCATAACCAAGCCCAGTGAACCCCCCAAAACGTGAGAACTTGACTGGAAAAAGTGGAATCAAAGGCAAATAAAGCAATCTTGTGAACTATACAACAACTGTCACACAGCTCTCCCAGCCTCCAGCAAGCCCAAAGAACCCCCACCACCACAACGAGATCCTAACCACCCGGCCGGGCAGGAACTTCTCAGGCAACGCCCAGTGACCCCCGGAAGTGTCCTCATTGGCCAGACAACCAATCCCTCAAGGCATGTAACCACAGTTTTAAATGTGGCAGTTCTGTCCACTGGGCTATTTGGCTGTCCGTAAAGTCCCATTGTTTCAGCAGCCACTGTCTAATAAAATTGACGACTTTGGTACATCTTGTAAGACTGGATTGCCCAGTTCAACCAGACAGAGCCCCTCCAGATTCAGATTCATTTTATTACCCATGTGCAGGTATAAAAACTACATTGGAATACAGTTGCAAAAAAAGGTACTTCTGCTGCCAGTGGTCATAATATTAAGCTTGATGGATGTATAATTCTATTCAGTGGCCTCAACATGAACTGTGGACTTACCATAGAATTATATGGTCCATTGTCCTGTGTCCAGCTGTTCCCGGACTGTACTCAGTCTGATGTCTTTGTTCGGACCGCTATAGGTGACATATTGCCTTTGTACGTCACTCGCCCATAGGATGGGACCCCTGCTGCTTCAGCGCTAAGGGCCAGAGGTGTTCAGGCTCAGATCAGACCAGATTAGATATTATTAATATTTAGAAGTCAATATAATTTGGATCTTACTGTTGCAAATAGTATTTTGCTAATTTTTAAAATGTTTTTCATTTTCAACACATAAACAATAAAATACTTTTTTCACTTCCAGTCTAAACTTGGCTGTATGTGATAAGAAATCCCAAAGTTTTAAAATGTATCATTTCCCAAAATAGCATGATCAGCATCAAATACGGTCTAGTTTGTGTATGAAAAAACAACGTTATGTTTTGTGTCTATGTTGTTTTCAACAACAAAATACAATACATGAATAGCAGCCCCTTTGATGCCTGTGTCCTGTCGGCTGCTGTCTCCTCTTCTTCACACTTTCCATGCTGACATATTGACTTCATCCTCTCAATGTAACACAGACCTTACCCCCTGCTGTGATGCTTTGTCGCTCCAGGGCAGAAACCTGGTGCCATCGGCCCCTGGTGGCGTGAAGCTGAACTACAGCGTCCTGATCGGAGACACGCCCTGCTCTGTCACGGTGTCCGAGAGCCAGCTGCTGTGTGAACCTCCCAACCTCACCGGACAATACAAAGTCATGGTCAGTTCATAAATATTGTACTCACTATACAAGCTGTAATATGTTTTCAGAAGAGGATCAAGTGTACTACAAGTAAAACACTAGCATACCACTCTGAAGAACTGTTTGTAAAGTGTATACAGGGGTGGAGCCTGATATTGAAAGTGATCAAACCTCATCTCTATGGTCACAAGTTCTGGCAAATGATGAAAAAAAATACTCCAAAAATATTCCTGGCAAAGAAAAATCATCTCAATGTTAGCAGGCTTGGACTTCATGGCCGGTGTATGCCTAATAGGCTTATCTGCTTAAGTCTTTCTCTTTTTGGATTCTTTTTTTGGTCATAAACTGAAAAATTGTGTGGGCCTCTTGTTGTTCATTTAGCAGCAGGAGTTGGGTCAGATGCAGAGCAGTGCAGTGCCTTCACAGTCAAAAGGTCTGGTTTGAATCCACAGTAATTATTTTGAGATTGTGGTTTTGCTGATAGAGTCCAGCCCTGGTCAGTGGCCTCTCAGCAGCAGACTGTAAATGATGCATTCACGTTCAGGCCGCTGTATTAACCTTTTTGCTTCTCCAAAGTTATTCATTTATAGTATTGTCCTTTCTTTTCTTTTTTTTCAACTTTACTCCAAAAGACAAAAAACAATTAACAGGATACAACATGATATACATATATTCGGTTCCAACACCCTCTCAGTCATACAACATATAGAACACATACACGTACACATACTGTACACATACTCATACGTACTTCAAACTGTTTTTTTATTTATACAGCCCTTTACAACACTCAAGGTTACCAAAATGCTTTACAATAAAATCACATAAAACGATCATTAACACATTCATGCAATCAAACAATAAAACAATTAAAAAGCATTTACAAAGCATTAAATAATATTAAAACGTGTACATACACATACTGTACACTCACTCAAGACCCAAATACTCTCTGACCCTACACCTCTCCGCCATCAGTAGTTTTGTGTTGAGGGTGTTACTCTCTTTCCTCCTGGTACTTCTTCAGCACTTAAGACTACCTTCTCCTGACCCACACTGGTGCTGCTGTGGTGTTGTGCGGTGCAGGTGCAGGTTGGGGGTCTCCACGTGTCCCCCGGCTCGGTCCACATCATGTCGGACTCTCTGCTCACACTGCCGGCCATCGTCAGCATCGCGGCCGGAGGAGGACTTCTGCTCATCATCGTCATCCTCGTGCTGATCGCCTACAAGCGCAAATCCAGAGAGAACGACCTGACGCTGAAGAGGCTGCAGATGCAAATGGACAACCTGGAGTCCCGGGTGGCTCTGGAGTGCAAGGAAGGTACGTTTGGAGTTTCACGATTGGTGTGGGATTTTAAACCTGCACTGTTTTCTTATGAGGGTTATTTGGTTGGAGAAAAAAAAAAAGAAAAGAAAAATAAGACTTTCCCCAACTATCTTGATGGTGACCTGCTTTTTTGTGAAGTGGTTCAATACCAGTGTCTTACGATAGATATTCCTTTTGCTGAGATGTCTCTCAGTTTGATTTAAAACATTCACCTCCCCACAAATGTAAGTTGGCCATGTGAAGTCATTGTTTTCTAATGTGAAAAGGAAGTTTGATAATGACAAATATTTAAAAAAATTTAGACAAACCCAAGCAAAAAGCAGGTAGTGGATGAATGCAGTTTAATTTGGTTTTATATATTTTCACAAGTATTTTAGTTCTTGCCATGATGTAACATTGGAAGGATTGTTTTATATGACATAATTATCATAACACATGCAGGGAAAGTCTTTTGGATGTAAAATGACCTAAAAATGTCACCTTTAAGCAGGAAGCTGAAACCCACGACTTCCTTGAGCACCTCCAGCCTGTGCACAATGCATTATAATTCTTAGAAAATTAATTTTGAATGCTGTGGCCATAGACGTGCATAATACACATACACTGCTCTTCATGCACTAAATTATGCAGTAAAGTTGTATTTGCCACATCTGGGTCATGGAGACTTTTTAGTTCTATATCAGGTTTTCACTGTACAGCTTGAGTCACTTAGCCCTGCATGTGACCCGCCTTGTACTTAACCGCTTCCATTTCTTTACTCCTAATCCTAATCCTACTCAATACATTTGGTTTAATGAAAATGTATCTACAGTAAATGTATTTCAGTTATAAAATTAGCTTTTGTCAAACCAATCAGAGATACTACATAGTGGATTACTCTGCCATCCATCGTAGCCATTTATAATGTATTTAGTTTGTAAGAGGTTGCATGTTCGTATTATCTCCCCTCTCTGGTGTCCAGGACCTCTGAGCCTCTGGGCTGCTGTTGATAACGTAATGAACATTTTCAGGCTGATCGCAATCACCCTGATAAATTAAGTATTGCTTAAGGGATTTAAATGTGACTAGTAACACTATTAGGTTCTGAACAAGTCAAGCCAAAATGGAGCACTTTCATTTTTACCTTTATATTCATGAGCATTGTTCATCTAAAATTTATGGCTGTAGATAAATAAATAAAAATAAAATCCTCATAGAAAATAACTTCTTTCTGAACAAAATTATGAGTTTCTTGAAATGTATCAATTCCAGTGAATCCAAAAAAGTGTTGTTCTTTTGAAATCTGTAAAACCCAATAAACTATTAAATTGGCCAAATTACTAAAGGACATACCAAAACTAATTGAATGTCTTTACATTCAGTTGTGTGCAGTGGAAGACCTCCCGGAACAATAATTGGCTAAACCCAATTAAAGAATTCTGTTGAATCTACGACGCAACATTGCTTAGAGTCATTATTTCTTTATAATTGAAAAGAAGTATATGAAATCTTTGCGCAGCAGCTGTCTTTGCGCTCAGAAAGGCATTTGATCTTTAGCTGTCAGTGCAAAAAAAACAAAACAAAAAAGCAGCATGTTCGAAAATGTCATCACTGCACCCAATCAGCAAAAATAACACCCTTATGTAGTAAAGCTTACATTGTCCCCAGAGTGCCGTGGATTTCATCAGCCTTTCGGAGCTTATTAACCCAGCTCTCCTTCTGGCTGCGATTGTTTTGTCGCACACAGTTAGCATGCTACATCCGCTTCTATACATGCAGCTTTAACAGGGGAAATCAGTCACAGGCCTCGCAGCCCTGGGAAGAAGACAAGATTAATGTTTGAACCATTAGCAGTGTCTTGGTGCGCTTTGTGGCTCGAGGGGTGGATTTGGCGCAAGCTATCCCGGGACGGTCGTGGCCGCTTCTCGGAGCTTAGGGGCCGGTAGCGTTGGGAGGCGACCACTGCTTCTGTGATTGGCTGAGCGGAGGGAGTCTCGCACCCCTCAGGATAGAAAGCACAGAGGAGACATCGCCTAAGGCCCCGAGCACGACTCAAACCGGGATGGAGCCAATTAAGTAGCTCTCACCTGCTGTTACACACTGATACGACACACAGGGGCCCGAACTAGAAGCAATTTACAGGATGGTGGAGAAAAAGCCCACGGTGAAAGTGAAGCAGGGCCGGTTCTAGCTTAGTGACGCTCTCGGGCATGATTTAAAAAAAAAAAAAAGAATACAAATGGCCTCAAAAGTGCACGACTCAAAATCAGAGTAATTTAATAAAAGCACATAACAAATAATTTACTAAAGTACACACAGGGGACAGAGAATGGAACTGGGGAATAAACACAATGGACTGACAACAAGAGGGAACGAGCACGGGTATTTCATGGAGACACAGATGAAACCACGCACAATAGAACAGACAAAGTGAAAATATAGTTGACAAAAAACTACACAAAAGCTTTAAAGTTACAAAAAATAAAACAAATATTCAAAAAATAAAAAACCACAGCATGGCGGTCTGGACCTTTTGAGTATCCTATGGTCTATGCTAATCAAAAACATATAGAATATAAAATAAAACGTATATGATCTGCAGCCATGTCAAAAACTCTTTCATTTATTTGCGCTTTGATATGATCATGAATAATAATAATATTTTTTAATAATAATAATAATAATAATATATCAAACTTATATAGCGCTTTTTTGGTCACTCAAAGACACTTAATTTCATTTTAAACACATTATTTATCAAAGTTTTCCATTCAAAAACATGATTTGTTTTGAGCTTAGTCCTTGCTCATTACAAAATAATCTTGGATGAATTTCACTTCCCTTGAGATTCAACAATTCCTATAGCTGTGACATCATAGAGGTTTTCGGTGCCGCTTTTACTCTATAAATCCTCTCCAGACTTGTTTGGAGCCGCTCTGTTCATAAGTACTCGTTCATTATATTTCACAGCCAAGAATAAAACAACTAAGTCATGTTTCTTCTTCTTCTTTATTGTTACTTCTGCATCAACCACAAAACTAAACTTGGAAAGAATGGGTGGATTATCTTTCGTTGATCTGTATTCCTCAAAATATTCCACAATATAGCATCCAGTCACCAGTATTGCATTCTTCATTCATATTTAAATGCCTAAAAAAATCCATGAAAAAATGTTATTCTTAATTTATGCATAAAATTAGATCTTTATGTATAGAAATTAGATCATTATTTGATTAGATATTTCTATAATCTGTTTGGAGACCCCCTACTCTTGGTGGCTTGTGGCTGTTTGAATAGCGAATATGTAGAAATAGCAGAATTTCTCCCTCTGGGGCTGTCAGGTTCATCACAAGGGTAAATAAAGATAAAAAGGATTCATGACTTTGCTGCGGATCAGGTACAAGTAGATTTTTTTGCAGTGTGTCTTGGGTTAGCTCAGGGCACATTCTCTCTACTGCCGCTGCTTTTGGAGGAGCGGATTTACCCTTTGAATTTGTGGCCTAATTGGACCGCCTTCTGCCATCACCCTGTGCAAAAAATATGGATTCCTAAATTATGCTTCTGTCCAACTTTGAACGCGGCTTCCTTTGTCAATTGTCACATTTCTTAGCAGTACAGTAAAAAGAAGTATTATCATCTGCCTTTTCCCCTGCCACAAAGTCAGCCTCGCCTTCATATTGTATTTAGTGCCTTTGCGTTCATAAACAACAATTTTATTTACACTTTGTAGTGATTGCAGCAAGATAAGTTATTTCACAGTCACTTATCAAGGTTTTTACCATTTATGTTTTGAATTAACACAATTATGTAACATTTTGCCGCCACTAGTTGTCTGTTACTTCGCTGTGGTATTTTTAAAACTATAATAAAAAATTAAAATAAAATTCCCAAGTCCAAGCTGTAAAGGCACTGTACTGTATGTGTATAATTCTACCTAGACTATACTATTTCCTCATAAGACAGAGGCCGTGTGCACAAACCTGTGTACAAAAAACAATTGAAGTCGCAGTTTGCATGTAGAATTAATTATTTTATAGAGCTAATGGACTAATGGACTTACAACTATCCATATTTGTACCCAAAAAACACACACACTATTACTATACATTCATTCAAACTTTGACAAAGAGGCTTCTGAAATATATCTGTAAATGTATAGATATATGCAGTATTTGGAGGACACATGTTCAACTGCTGTTTTTTTCTACTTTCAGCCTTTGCAGAGCTGCAGACAGACATAAATGAATTGACCAGTGACTTGGACCGTGCCGGTATCCCGTACCTGGACTACAGGACGTACGCCATGAGGGTGCTGTTCCCGGGAATCGAAGACCACCCCGTCCTCAGGGAGCTGGAGGTACAGTACAAGCGACAAGAGACAACATTGTTCTGTGGTTCAAGTTTTAATAATGGCAGTTTTGAGGCAATTTTCTGAGTACTTGTGATCATTTTTTTTCTTTTCTAGCTTGTTATTGGTGACATTTGTGTCTGGGTACCGAACTTTAAACCACAACAAATTTAACTATATAATCAAATCCAAGTGCCTTGCTCTCAAAACAGACACACATGTATTTTTTGGCGTTTGTTCCATTCTGTAGATCAGCTTTTTCAGACAGAAAAGTGAGAAAGAGAGGACCACCCTCACTCAGCTCTCAGCCCAAAGCATCAAATACTGACTCACAGGGCATTTTCTCACAGGTATACACAAAAGATAAAATGTTTTCTAATAAGATGAAGACAGTTCACAACATTTTATTAGACTCTTTATGTTCGGACAAACAACAGGTAATAATCATACAAGTTAGATACACCAGCTTTGATAGTTGTTGATGATTTACTATAGGAACTACCTGAGGGCCCATTATCTATTAACTATGGTTGAAAAACTAAACGTTTTTATATATACAGTACTTATACTGTATATATACTGTATGTTTTGCTTCTTGTGTTAAATGTTATTCTATTTGCGCACACACTTGCAAACATGGACTTTTGGCTTTACTAGATTGTCGTTATTGTATCAGTGGAAAACGGTAGTATCCATTGGACCACATGTATTTTCAGTAATGTCCTGGTTGGTGTCACAAAAGTGTTCATATGTTAGATAGCTGGAGGGCAGAGGACACCAGTGTGCTGTTATACGCTACTCTTAAAACATGGTCAGTGGAAATTCCTGCTCCCCGGTGGAAAACAGGGTCCCCGCGCTGGCTATTTCACCCACGGCCGGCTGCACGATGAGGGGTAATGAAGTGAGTAATGTCAGCGCTGGAGGTTCAGGATCCAGGAGGGAAAAAGACTGGTTATCCCGTCTCCACAACAGCTGTATCACCCATGGGGAATGAGTTAACAGCAACACAGAGGGAAGATGGAGAGGGAGCCGTTTAAGGAAGGGCCTGAATGAGATAACGCAAAGTTATCTGGTTGAGAATGTGGATACAAGCGAATAAAAGATGAGCTGGAGGAGAAAAGTCTGGAGGAAAGTCTGGAGGAAGGGTTAAAGCAGAGGAAATTGGATGGAAGGAAAGTTCAATTCAATTCAATGTATTTTTGTATAGCCCTAAATTACAAACGCAGAGGTCTTGGCGGACTTTACAAAGTTGTTGATGGGCCCACGACAGAATCAAATAGTTCAGGAAATGTCACTATAACAAACACATAGAGCCGTAGGTTACTGGAATGACCAATGCCCATAAATGTTAATACATGTACTTAAAGGTCCATCAATGTCCTTCAAAAAATATCCCTAAATAGTTGTGTCCAAGATATTCTACAGATCTGTTCAGAAAGCACCATAACCCCTAATGGTGCTTTCAGACCGCCAACGCTGAAACGCACATTCTCTAGTTTTCAGACGCAGGGGTCTTCAGACCAGAAGTCGCGGAAGTAGCCGGCGGGCTCTGATTCTAACAGAGTTTAGCTAGCGTCTTCTTGTGTAAAGATCTTCTCCAATAAAGCAGCTTTGCAGCGTGTCTGTGTTCAGAGACCTTCCACGGACTTTATATAACAGTAGCATGTGTTCACGGAGGTGACTTTGCATTGAAAGCCGACGCAACGCATGATCCGGTCTGAACGCAGCATAAGACTTTCAGACGAAAATATTGATACGAATAGAAGCCTATCAACATCCTTAATGTTAATTTCAGACACACTGACCTGGATGAAGCCAATGTTATAATGCAAATATAGTTATGTCTGAAACTGTGAAAGAACCTGTTAAAATTAGACTCTTGTTTTTGGAAGCATTTAATTTCTAAATGAAACGTATTGCGACCAGAGAGTCAAGTCAAAAGATGAAACTATGAAAATGTACACCATGCTCTCATAAAATCCTGTGTTAATATAGTGTATAGTGTTAATGTAGAAGCAACAAATGAGCAACTTCTAACAATGTCTTGTTAGTTAGTTAAAGTCTGTTTGTCATGGTTCAATATCCACTACACCTCTAAAGCACGTTTTGATCCTGTCTGTGAAATGCGTTATATGAATAAATAATTTTACTTTTTACCAGAATAACCTCTTCCTCTCTTGTCGTGCAGGACCTTTAATTTATTGTATCAATTTTTTAGTGTACGTTTTTGACTGCAGCAATTCAAGCATGTTTTATATGCCACTAAGATTAAATATATGTGTCACTTGCAGCTTAGAAACATAACATTTAAATGGAACTTAAAAAAATAGCAAAGCACAATAACCTTCATTATCCTTTCAGAGACTTTTCTTTAAGGTTGTCTAGACGATCTCTGCAAAATGTCACCCGTAAAATGTTTAATTCAAACAGAAAAGAAGATATTTTGGCTTCAGGCAGCACTAAAAAGTATTCAGTAAAGTAATTAATCCACCAAATCAATTAACGAAATGTCAAGATGTGCCCTCTCCAACTAAGGCAAAAGTCCTTCAGACAGTTTTATTAAAATAACTTCATTCACAGAGAGTTGCTTAAGTTTCTGTTGTTTTTCCGTAGCCGGGAGTAGGACAATTGAGTAGAAACCCAAATGGCTGCTTACTCATGGTTTTTCGCCGGGACAAGTCAATAATTGATTTAGCTGTTCTCAGTTACTGACCATAAATGTGGCCTGTGTCTGACGGGAGCGAAACCTGAGTGAACTGTTCGGAAAAATCTTTATTTGGTGAAGCACAAGGTCAGCCTGAAATCGGACCAAATGGATGCATTTTCAAATAAACTTTACTCCAAAATCATTGCCCTACCAAGAAATCAGCGACAAGAGTGAAAGAGATATTTTGCCTGGATTATGTTCGACAATAGGAACCTGTACACGTTTTTGATACCACATTGTCTACTTATTTTTTTTGGTTTTTTCACATTCTCCAGTCATTAGATAAATCCTAAAGTTCCAGCACAATGGTCAGCCTTGGTTCTATGGCATTGATTGAAGAAGGGGTCAAATCAATACAAGCAATACTAATAAAAAGTATCCCGTGTCTTAATGCAACTTAAATAAACTTACAAGACCCCTTCCAAGTGATTTATACCAAATCTAGCCTCCTAATACATCTATATTACCTAACTTAATCCCATCTTTATCAGGGGCTGGGTAACATCCATTTCTCTCTCCTCCGCAGGTGTCTGGAAATGGCCAGCTTCACGTAGAGAAAGCCCTGAAGGTTTTTGGTCAGCTAATCAACAACAAAGTCTTCCTGTTGACATTCATAAGGACCTTGGAGATGCAGCGCTCTTTCTCCATGCGGGACCGGGGCAACGTGGCCTCCCTCATCATGACGGCTCTACAGGGCCGGCTGGAATACGCCACCGATGTCTTAAAACACCTGCTGTCTGACCTCATAGACCGCAACCTGGAGAGCAAGAACCACCCCAAACTGCTTCTGCGCAGGTAAGCAGACGTAATTTATGTTATTGAGTGAATATGCTTTGCTGCTAGGACATTTGCAAATAGGAGCCTATACTACTATTGAGGACTTTATATTGTTGGTTCTGATTGGTTCAGGACACAAAGACGCTGAGGGGACTGATTGATCTGAAAAATGATTGGAGGGCTTGACCAGTGATTTCTTCAGAATCAGTAGTAGCAATAAGATTGTTGAGAATACGGCAAGGGAATTGCCCTGTGTCAATACAATTCAGACACAGGGCAACTCAAAGTGCTACACAGAGAGATTAAGACAGAATGCATTAAAGCCATCCATTGTCATACAACCTATACAGTACCTTTAAGAGATAATTTTAATAAAATAGTAATTTGAGTTTGTAAGGCTGGTTTAAGCTGAATGACTTGCTGTATTTCTAAGACCACACATTTAGACACTAATGGTCTTGGTCTCTGTTGTTTGTGGGACCTCCTTGGCGATGACAGACCGTTTATCTGGTTTTTAATACATAGTTGCTCTCCACAACCTAGAAATGTTTTTCTAATGTTTATTATTTTGAAAATGTTTGCAGATTTTTACGCAACTTGTAATGCAATGTGAGTTTGGGAGTTTTGCCCAGTTTAGTTGAAACCCTTTGGCAACTCCCTGGGTTGCCCAATCTACTTTGTGTAAGAGTTTTCTTTAACTAAAACACTACAAGACAAGTAGATGTAACCCCTTCACCACCCAGCAGTGCTCATGGTAGAAATTACCATCGACCCAGCTTTGAAATGAAAATGATTTGACTTTCGTCCAAAAAAATGATTCTCAGTTCCGAGAGGGAGAGGAAAACTAGATACTACAGTATGCCCTCAGTCTATTCAATCCAAGTCGGTGTATTTTTGTAAAGCGATAAATCACAACAGCAGTCGTCTCAGAAGGACTTTACAAAGTTGTAGATAGTTTGTTATCTGTTATCTAATTCAGACTACTTCATTTATCCCACCAGGGACAATTCGTTTGAGCAGCACATAAACAAAAAATGATAATATAAAATAGATAAATAACTTAAAAACACAGGTCAATAAGTGATATGTCAAGTGGAGCCCCATACAAACATATGAACATAATACAAAGGCAAATTTAACCAATGCACATCACTAAATTTTCTGGACACATTGAGTTTTTAGAGAAGACAGTCCTAAATAAGCCACCTGAAATAAGCGGCATCTTCTACCTATAGCCTGCCACATATTTCACAATATACAGACTTTAAAACAAGAGTTGTGCTGACAGTTTCCTGCATTAAACGCACACTTCTCACATGCGGACAACACACAGACTCTGAATAATTCTGCAGCCCTCCTTTCCCACGTCGAGCTCTGGAAGCCCATGTCAGTCCCACTTATTCTCCAGTCCTGAGCGGCCCATAAAACATTCAGACAGCCTTTTCCTCTCCCTGACTACGGTGTACTTTGTTTTCTGTTCAAGTGCGCGCCAAATGATAAAAGTTTTAAGCATCCTCAGTTGCAGCTTTGTCAACTTTAGAAACATTTTTACCTATTTGTGTTTTATCTGTAAACCGCACCTGCAAAATTGACCTTTTTGGAGATTTTAACCATGTTACAATGTAAAAAATATTGAGTCGTTTTTAGCTTAATCTTTGCTAATACCAAGAACTTGTCCATTTCACCCTCCAGCTGTTCAGTGAGTCGAAGGTCTATTATTTCATACCATTTTACAGTCTGGTCTTTTTTTGTTAACATCTTCAAACTTGCATAATTTCCATTAACACTGACATTCCCGAGAACCACCCAAAGGTATCCATAGCAACTCTAACCCTAAATACCACAAACACACTAACCCTGCTAGTCCTATATATATCAAAAATCTTGATACACCAACTTCACTTTTCAAACTAAAAACTAGGAGAAAACTGCTTCAAAAATGTGGAAGAAATTATAAAATTACAATACCAATATAAAATTGGTGAAGATCTAGCAAAACAACAATAATGCAGTTTTCAGAATTAACTAACAAAGCTAAAACAGTAACCTTTTTCAGTTATGAAAATAAAAAATTACCCGCCCTATTCAATTTTATTGAATAGTTTGGGTCTACTGGAACACATGGGAGCGCTCATGGGTAGATATGTTGCAAAGTTATGTGATGGATATACAAAATCAACACATTATTTTTATTCCCTTTATTTTGAAATTTTTGACATTTTTGACATTATGCCTAAAAAGACCATATTTAAAACAATCAGTGGATGCTATTTATCTTCAAAGTAGTTGCATCTTTCCCATTCCATGTGTTGTAAATGTAAAACTGGAGAATGAAGGTCAAAGTAACTCACATTTATTTAAGCGTCACAGCAGTGTGCCTTGTCCCCTCCAAGATTTCATTATCCTGCTTTATTACAATCTCCATGGGACCTAATCTTCGGTCCCGCGGTGGATTCTTGCAGAGATAAATGTCCCGTAGTTTTATAATTGAAACAAATTTATAAAGAAAGTGGGAGATGATCCATTTGACAGCTCTGTTTGCTCTTGTATGTGTTAAAGCCGCCGTCTTTAGAATATGCTTCTCAGTGAGTGGTTTTTAGGGCCAGTGCAGCTGTAGTGAAAGCAGAATTACGTCTTTGCACTGAATAAATGATTGTGAGAGCAGAGAGCGTGGCTTCATGTCCATGAGAAGGAGACAACATGAGCCAGACCCAAGAGTCAGCCAAGTGCCATATTTCTGTCATTTATTTATATTACAGCGGCTTCAAAGTGCATGCTGTCACCAGCAAAATACATACTTTTACTATTAAAAGTATTTGTATGTGGCTATTTTAGATTCCTGTCATAGTTTATACATGTTATACAATCAGAAGGGAACAATTGTTTATGTATCTTTATATTATTTATTTCATCAATAAATCAAAAACGTTTCTAGAAAATGTTGTTTTCAAGTCTTTGTCAAGCTCTTTCTGAACAGTTTCCCTATACAACTTTTTGAGAAACCCTGCACCACACACATACAGATTGTAGCTTTCCATCAATATATACATTTTTTGCTATAGTGAGCAATAGAATGATAGTTGGTAATACTAATAATGATAATATTAATAATACCAACAATAATATTGTTTATGACAAGGGATATAAAAGGGTTGTTTGCAACTTTGCATCTGGAGGAGAATAGTCAGTAAAGGGCCTCAGATGTCCATCAGGATTTGAATTAATTGCATCCAATCAGGAACCTTTGGGGGTGGGTCAATCTGGTGCTTGCATACAATAATGTCTGTCCGTCTTCACAATTTCAAAAGCTTTAGAATCAGGGTTCAAACAATACTTCTTCACTATGATCTCAAAGCCTTCACCTTTTGACTGATGGATCACCCTCCATCGTCTGGATTATGCCAATGGGATACTTAACATTCACTGTAATGAGTTCTAATGCAGATAAAGAGTAATAGTTCAACTTACTTTTTCACTGAGATCTTCACTACTGAGTTCATAAAACCACAAGGGAACATCTTTGATACTACGCATGAACAAAGTAGACCAAAGACTGTTGGGTTTAAACAGGGTTAAAAGAACTGAACAAACAGAGGAAACTGAGGAGAGAATTATAAAGCTCTGGATTCTTTTAACAATGCCTTAACAGTCTGAAAAATAAACATTATAATTCGTCAAATTGGATGTGATATCGACACTTTACTCAAAGGAGCGTCTAAAGTGAAGTTAGAAGCGCATTAAATATTCTGTGTGTAGCGTCCGTCTGTGGCTAAAACCCCTCCTCGCAATAGCTCTTGCATTCCCCTATACATCGCCTAATTACTCATGTATTATTTATGCTTTATTAATGAGGGTTAAAGCTTGATCGAACATCCCATTAGCCGTTCCTTCCATACTGATAAATGGACTTTGTAGGAGCTCATTTGTTTATACACTAATTTAGAAGCATGCATATAGATATGTCCATTTGGTTTCATTTCAACAGCAGTCATCAGCCGCACTAACACTGGGAATTTGCACACCAAAAAAAAGCAAGTCGTGTTGAGGGTAGAAAACAAGCCAATGTAAATTATTGGTGACGGTAGTGAACGGCTAATGGGAACGGATTGGGAGTGTTGTAGTGTCCAGGCCAGAAGAGGGTTGAAAATCTATGCAATGGTCCTCAACGCTCCATTGACTTGAAAATGACATTTCCTTGTGCATTCCTGCAGTCCATAGATTATCCCGTGTCCCTAAGCATTGCTCTTGGTGCTTGGACTAAATGTGCTTGGGTTCTCTCATTACACGATGCCAGTTGTTGTTTTCATTCAGTTACAGCTGAAATCGATCTAAATGTTTTTGCTGCTTGAGTTTTCTAGGGTTTAAAATGGTTCCGACTAGATTAGTTATACAGTAAGGTAAGTATGTTAAGGTGTCTTTAGGTAAAATGGGTTGCAGTGACACAACACCATGAAATTCACAGTTAAGTCTGTTTATTTACATTTCAGGTAAGGCAAGTTATCTGATCTAAAACAATGGCCGCTGGTGGGACAAAGCCGTCTCTTTTGGTTTTACATTTTGACATGACGTCCCTTTGAGTTGTTTGTTGAGATTTCTGCATTACAAGACCCTTATAACCTGTATTGTTTATTGTTTTGTTTGTTCTTGGTTTACGATATGTGACAGGCCGTGGGGAAAGGTTGCGCACAAGAATTGCACCGGAATCCTCTTTCATGATTTTTTGTTTTTTTTGCAATGAGATCTTGAACAACTTAATGTGTCTGATATGTCTAACGTGATGCAAATGAGCACCATTGTGTTCCCTTCCCCTGAAAAAGGAACACTTTTTTATCAGCTTTGTGATTTCTGGCGACCTCACTTTCAAATGGCCGCAATCCTTTATATAGTATAGGATTTCCATTAAGTTTAGAATTTACGCTTTCAGAAGGACTCTAAATGCCTCTGGGTAGACTCCCACTTTTCCACTGCTTGTCCATATAGTCTATGCATTGTTTTTGGCATAAAGATGAGATTGAAAG